GCGGAGAACGATGCCACTCGCTGACCCCCTCCCTGCGCGTCTGCAGGTGACCGAGGGACCCCAGCGCCAGCCGGGAGGGGACCCGGCCACCATGGCACAGCCCGTCTCAGCCTTCCAGGCTGCTTACATCTCCATCGAGGTCCTCATCGCTTTGGTGTCCGTGCCGGGGAATATCCTGGTCATCTGGGCGGTGAAGATGAACCAGGCGTTGCGGGATGCCACTTTCTGCTTCATCGTCTCGCTGGCGGTGGCCGACGTGGCCGTGGGGGCTCTGGTCATCCCCCTGGCCATCATCATCAACATCGGACCGCAGACGGAGTTCTACAGCTGCCTCATGGTGGCCTGTCCTGTCCTCATCCTCACCGAGAGCTCCATCCTGGCGCTCCTGGCCATCGCTGTGGATCGGTACCTGCGGGTGAAGATCCCCGTCAGGTAGGAAAACGTGTCGGGTTGGGCTTTGTGGTGTCTGCTGTGGGGGTTAGAACGGAGCGAGGATGCCCCAGACTCTTGGAGAAGCACTAGGAGAAAGGTTTTCCTGCATCTGGCCACAGCAGCGGTCAGGGCAGGCTGGGCTGGGGGGTGTCGCTGAGCCTCCGGCAGCTTCGTTTGGGGGTTCAGGGGGGTGCTGGGTGTGCAGGCAGAGATTGCGTTGTGGCAGGGGGGGGGGGGCCCCCCTGTGGCTGGGACAAAGTGTGTCCCACCACACAGGGGAGAGCACCGTGCTTCAGGGAGTGGAACCGGGACAACCGATTGTCTTCAGCCCAGGTTTTCCCTTGCTGTGGGGAGCCCGGGAGCCAGGGGTGATAACCTGCTTGCTCACAGACATGTGGGACACAGCTTTGGTGATTTGAGGGACCAGAGGGGACAGCCCAGCATGTCTGATGGGGCAGGCTCACCCAGCAGAGACAGCTGGCTATGGGGCTGCCCCACAAATGACGTCTCTCCCTGTCTTTTCCCTTCTCATCGTCTGTATCTGTTGTCAAAGCCTAGCCCAAAGCACATACCGTAGGGCGTAAGTGGGGGGGACGCACTGTGTTTGAACTCTCCTGCTCCAGGAGGAGATATTTAACCACTTCAGGTCTGGCTCCCTGCCCCCCGGGGGCAGCAGCGG